ACCTGTATTTCATGTGTTTATGTATAGGCATCTGAGACCATGCATGTTATTGCTGACTCTTTTCTTGACTTTTGACTTCTGTGAATTTCTGCCTTTCCTCCCCCATCTACCTCTATTAATGTTCTTCTTACCACAATGTAGCTGCTGTCCATAAACCTTGGTGGATGTACATCTTCTCCTACTCCCTTCTTTTCCAGTTGAAGGTCCTTTTGGTTAGATTTGCAAGACTCCAGGAAAATGTCTTTTCAAATAGCTCTTCTTAGGGCTGGTTTCCCTGCTGGCCTGTTCTTCCTATGTTTTAAGCTGGGATGTAGAAGTCCAAATTTGGTTCTCAAACATCATCTTCTTAACCCTTTCCAAATCTACCCTTTCTTCAGTTGTCACGCATGATGAAAATCCTCCGTATTACCCCAAGGTTCTTAGTGTCTTGCTCAATATTTCATAATGTTTTCTAGATGTCTTGTTGCAGTCCCATGGAAAATCCCTAATCTAGACATCTCTGCAGCCTAGCCAGTCTCTTGTGTCCCTGCCTTGCCATCAGAAGAAGGTAGTAGTCTATAGGTTCTACTGTGGTGTCTTCTGGAGAATTCTGCAGCCTGAGAGCCAAGAATATTTGAAATTCTAGCAAACTCCTGGTGATTCAGAGAGAACTGGCCAGGCAACAGTGGAGCCACATGCACATGGAATTATCCTCCTAGAGAGGGAAGGAGGATACAGGGATTTGCATTATCAACCTTACCTTCACTTTTCCCTTCCTTTCCTGCATTACATGCTCTCCAGTGGCTGCTGCAAGATGGTTGCTGCTTGGCTTTGGGGCTAGGTGGGAAGGGGACTGCCTGTAACTCTTCTTTCACTCTGGGATCCCAGACATCATGGTTTTATTAAAGACTAACTCAGCCCCAAGGCCACCAGTGGATAGCTTTGGGGGGCTTATATGTCTGTTTCACAGGGTCAGGTGTGGATGATCCTGTGGGAGAAGTCTCCATCCAAGTGGATCTGTTTACACATCCTGGAACTGGGGAGCACAAGGTCACAGTGAAAGGTGAGAAAGGCAAATGTTATATTCATGGGGAAGGTGGGGGGGATGACAAAGACCAGAAATCCTTATGAGAAGGGTGAGAAAAGGAGGAGGTTAGGATGAAGGGGGTCCCTCCTTTTTCCCATCCATGGAATCTTCATCGAGCTGCTAAATTTTTAGGTTCCTTTCAAACTAAACTCTACTTTTTTGATTCCTAGGCACAGGTCAAGTCTAGAGCATCCATGGTGTCTAACCTCAATATTATAGAATGTCTTCCTTAGTTTCTCTAAGAGGAATGCCATCTAGAGCATAGCAAGGGTGGGGGAGGGGAGAGGGAGGTGAGTATGTTTCATGGACTATGAGGAGTTACTCATATGATTCTAATTGGACCCTCTCCATTTGGGTAGTGGTGGCTGCCAATGACCTCAAATGGCAGACAGCAGGCATGTTCAGGCCCTTTGTGGAGGTGACCATGGTTGGCCCACACCAGAATGACCGAAAAAGAAAGTTTACAACCAAGTCCAAGAGCAACAACTGGGCCCCCAAGTACAACGAGACATTTCACTTGTGAGTGGGGAGTATTTTTCAAGGGAGGAAGAAGATCCTAGGGGTAAAGGGAAGAGTGGTAATGAGGGTTTTATGAGAACTGTGGTTTGTGTGGGGAAATTCAATTGCTCCAGCTAACATGGCCCCACCCTCCTGTGCTCACAGCCTTTTGGGGAACGAGGAAGGGCCAGATGCCTATGAACTTCAAGTATGTGTGAAGGACTACTGCTTTGCACGTGAGGACCGGGTGCTGGGGCTAGCAGTGATGCCACTGAGGGAGATGGCAGCCAAAGGTAGCTGTGCCTGCTGGTGCCCCTTGGGTCGTAAAGTCCATATGGATGAAACAGGCCTGACTATTCTCCGGATCCTGTCTCAGAGAAGCAATGATGAAGTGGCTCGAGAGTTTGTGAAACTCAAATCAGAGTCTCGCTCCTCAGAGGAAGGGAGTTGAGTCCGTTATCATCCCATGTGCCAACCTGGGCCACCATGCCAGCCTTTCTTCACATCATCGATTTCCCATACCTCTCCCTGCCAGGCTCGTGGAAGTTCAGCTGTGTAGTAGCCTTTGAGCATATCTGATTTTTCAGGTGAAATTCTGAGTGGGAGAGTCCTCTCACAGGGTCGGCAAATCAGGGACACATGGACTAGGCTGCAAGGGTAACTAGTCAGAGATTTTCCATAAGAAACAAATCAAAATCTCTGACTCTATTGGTCTCAAGAACCTTTCCTGAAGGATTCCCTCTATTGATGTCTCAACATACATTTACACTCTCCCCTCATTTACCCACCTCGTCCTCCCTTCTTATCTCTTCTCTCCCCATCCCCAATTCCCATTTAAATGTGTCCACACTACCCATATGAAGAAGTAGGGGGATCTAGAATGGTCAGTAGTGAGTAGCTGACGAACAGTGTAGTTGGTTAAATCCACAGATGTGCCTGATACCTCTAGTCCAGGGAAACCTCATTGGTAACCCTGAGGATGTCACCAAGAACTGAAGTGCCTGAGCAGAGGCTGCTTTCATCTTGCTGCTTCAAGCCCCAAGGACAAAAGTGTGTCACTAAGAACTGGAATTTGCCAGGGATGAGTTATACCCCTCACTCTTGGGCCTTGGCCTAAGAGCAAGTCCTGTTGCCCTTTATTCTTGATCCTTAACACTGAGTTTCCAGAAGCTTTTTAAAGTGTCACAATCAGAACAGATTCACAGGGTGCTTAGGAGCCTGGGACAGTGTCTGTAGGTTGGCCCAGCCCGGGTTGCTGCTACGAGTGGAAATGAACATAAGCAGGGCTAGATCCTGAGATAAATCAGTGGCTGCTGGAAGTTATATTTGGGAAGAGTTTTCCTGCCCCATATGCCTTCGGTAAATGATGGTGTTCCACTGATAAGTGAGACTAATCAGTCCCCATTACCCCACCAGCCAGCAGGTAGGACTGTTCTTGGATTTCTTTTTTTTTTTTTTTGTATGGACTTTCTTTAGACACTTGTATGTGAAGTGGGACTTGGATTTCCCTGGCATGCTTCTAGGATTCTTGGGAACTTGGTGTTGTCCATAGATACACTGCCCAAAACACTAAACAAGAAACCAAGGCATTTTTGCTGTTGTTAATCATTGTATGTGCCATGTTGCAGGAGATTATAGGATAGTCTTTAATAAATTATCTTTTAGCAGCATTCTGTGTGTGATGTTTTTTGATAAAATGTATAAAAAAGTCATGGAAATCATGTAGGCTATTTATTTTTGAATTACTAATAATAGCTCACTATAATGATTTAAAGTTTACAAAGTACTTTGTATAGATTTTATTTGATTATCACAACAACACTGTGAGGTGGGTGCTATTATTATCACCTTCATTTTACAGATTACTAAACTGAGACACTGAGAAGTTAAATGATTTACCCAAGGCCAAGCTAGCATCAGAGGCAGCTTTTAAATTGAGGCCTTTCTGCCTCCAAGTTCAGTGGTGAGTACAACACATAACAAACATTTGCCATAACTCACCAACTCAGTTTTAGAGGAACACCAAGGAACTCTGGGACAAGCAGTATGATGTAGAGCAGAGGTGTCAAACTGGGTTAATGGGCATGCCCACCTGAACTAGATTAAATGTAATTGGGAAATGCTTAACAAAGTATATAGAAATATAATACAATATAGATAATGTTAATTTGTGGTTATCGAGGTCAATATGCTGCCCAGAGAGCCATTTCTATTTGAGTTTGACACCACTGCTATAATGGATACAGCACTGGACCTGGAATCAGAAGGACCTGGTTTCAAATTTCACCTCTGACTAGCTTTGTCATCCTGGACAAGTCACTTAACCCTATTTGTCTCAGTTTCCTCATCTGTAAAATGAGCTGGAAAAGGAAATTGCAAAACAGTATCTTTGCCAAGAAAACCCCAAATCGGGTCATGAAGAGTCAGACACAACTGAAAACACACTGAACTACAACAAAATAGCCTGTAGGGGAAAGTGAACTAGATAGTTTCCTGGGACCTCAGAGATAGAAGGGAGGTTCATGGCTCCCTGAAACATGGTTCATCTCTATGCTTCCTGCTGACTGTAATGATTCCCAGAATAACAGAGCTGACTTTTGGATAGGGTAGTTATTCAATAATCATTTGTCATTTACCAACTGTGTGTGATATACTGGGGATACCAGGAGACTGAGTCCTTGCCCTCAAAGACCCTACTTTCTATAGGAAGATGCAACATTTATATATGGATAAGTACATAAATAATTCTAGAAGAGAGAAAACCATGGGAATCAGGAAAGTCTTTTCATAAAAACAATAGCAATTGGGTTAAGCATTGAAGGAGGCTGTGGATTCTGCTTTAAGAGGCAGAGATGAGGAGGAAATGGGCGATTGCCTTCCCCAAACTCCACTGTGGCAGAGCTAGAATTTGCACTCAGGTTTTTTAAGTTTAAATAAGAGCTAACATTTATCTAGCACTTACTTTGTGCAAGGCATTGTACTAAGCATTTTACAATAATCTGATTTGATTCTCACAACAACGCTGAAATGTAGGTGGTATCTCCATTTTACAGATAAGGAAACTGAGGCATTCAGAGACTATGTGATTTTCCCAGGGTCACACAGCTAGTAAAAACATCTGCTTTCCCTTTCCACTGCCCCACACTGGCTGGAAGTATTCCTATTTTACAGCGACTCTGTGCTTAAATAGATGTCAGTGACTGTGGACACCTGGCCTCAAATAGCTGTCAGTAGCCTTCCATAGAGTGATGAAACTAAGGCCTGAGGAAGCCGCGCTAAGTTTGGTGGGAATTCAGGGGTGTGGAGAAGAGGGGCGGAGCCGGCGGAGGCCGCGCCTGCGCACTGGGCCGCGTTTGGGTGGGACTCGAAGTGTTGGCTGTGAGGGGCGGGGCCAGCGGAAGCTGCGCCTGCGCCCTGAGCCTGGTTTGGGTGGAAATTCTGAGAAGACGTCGCGGGCCCCAACCCAGAGCTGCGTTTGGACCGGAATTGGGAAACGTCGCAGGCGACGGGTGCGGCCTGGGAGGGTCCTGACAACCTTCGCCGAGGGAACTGGAGGTGGGGGGTGGGAGGTGGTACTTTGTCCCCAGGACGCCCCTCCATCTCGTCCCGAATACCCCAGGCCCCACAGGGACTCTGCTCCCCGTGGGACGCCTCCCCAACGAGATTCCAGACCCCCCCCCCCCGCCCAGGCCACAGGAAGTGGTGACCTCCCCTGGGCCTGGGTCTGGGTCTCTCAGGGCAGAAACAGAATTTTGGAGCTTTTGGGACCCTGAGGAGGGGGTGCAGGGGGGCAGGGAAGGATTCCTTAGTTCATGTTTGGCCAGACTCTGCCCCTGTGGTGATTTGGCGAGGTTTGGGGATGTTTTTAAATCATGGAGGTTTGCAGACCCTAGTTTTCTCCAGGGTGGTCCTCAGCAAAGGCAGCGGACGTGTCCCCAGACAGTTTGCATATTGGATCCCCAGATCCCTAGTCTCTGACAAGCTCTGTAACGTCTTTGTGAGGCTTGGTGGTCCAAACGTGAGTGTGGTCTGTTTCGCAGAATAGGATAATAGGTTTTAGAGTTGGAAGAGACTTTAGAGACAATCTGATTTGATTCAGGGACAGAATTTGCCCATAAGTAGGCACCTGTAAAAATTAATCCAGTGGAGAAAGCTGTTTCTAGAAATTGGAAGTGGGAAATAAATTGAGTGTCCAGGTGTCCATATTCAGGGCCATATTCAAAGACCAGTCAAAATGCTAATAGGTTGTTTTTGGATGAGAATGAGAATGTGCTTTTAATGGTGACATTATGGAAAATTCCACAAAATGAAAAAACAATCAGAGTATAAGTTCTGAAATCATGTTTGCTGTGCTTTTTATTGCCTGTTGATACTTGACAGTTTGAAAAATAATGATGATAGCTTATAAATACATATATGTATATAAGCATATTTTATATATACATATATGTTGTCATTTCTTTGCAGGTGATTCCTAGATCTTCATTTTCAACCCGAGTGTCTCTCTTAAACTCTAATCCTGCATGTGCCTTTTGGATATCTGAATTGGATGTCCTTTAGGCATCTCCAAATCATTACATCCAAACAGAACTCTTATCTTTCCCCTAAAATCTTCCTTTTTTCCCAACTGTATTATTACTGTCGAGGGCACCACCATTTTCCCAAGTCATTCAGACTTACAACCTCAGTGTTAATCCATTCCTTACTCATTCACCCTACATATCCAATTTTTGTCAGATCTTGTCATTTTTATCTTCATATCATACATATCCCCTTTAGCTCTATTCACACAGCTGCCACCCTAAATGCACTCTCATCACCCTACACATGGACTATTGCAATGGACTTCTGGTTAGTTTCCCACTTGTGTACATATAGAATGTTAGTGCCTTCAAAGCAGAGATCATGTGTTTGCCTTTCTTTGTATCCCTAGTCCTTAGCACGGTGCCTGATACAGTAAATGCTTAATAAATGCTTGTCAACTAATTGCTTACCATGTACAGATTAAATTGAAGATTGAATTTGAATAAAGTTGGAGAAGGAAGATGAAAGCACAGAAGGAACATTTAAGTTTTGATTATTTGAATACCTGATTATTCAGTTCAGTAATCACCTTTGCCTCCTGTTTCTCCTTTTAAAAATGTTTTCTGTCTGTTGATCATTCTGCTGATCTTTAGTAGCACAGAGGAAATAACTGATCTTTTAGGCAGCTAGGTGATGTGATGGATAGAACACTGGGCCTGGAGTCGGGAAGACCTGAGTTCAAATCCAGCCCCAGACACCAGTGTGACCACAGGCAAATCACTTAACCTCTGTTTGCTTCAATTTCCTCAACTATAAAATGGGAATAATAACAGATAATATTTGTAAAGCACTTAGCTTTCTGTCATTTAGTAGGTGTTTTATAAATGTGTAATTCCTATTCGTTCCTGCTGTAAGCTTTACCCTGATGTTGCAATTTGTTAATAGTTTAGAAATAAAGTATAGTGAAAGAGATGTAAATTATATATTAAAAGTAGGGATTTAGATTTTTTTTCTTAAGAGGAAAATGATAAACAAATACTTTGTATGTACAGAGACCAAACAGTAGAAAATGACTGAAAAAGTAGGTTGGAGTTATATTTTAAAGTGCTTTAAATGTCAGGCTGTGGAGTTTGTATTTAATCCTAGAGGCAATAGTGATCCACTAAAGGTTTCTGAGCAAGGGAATAACATAGTCAGGTTTGTTCCATGAGAAAATTGTCTTTGCAGTTGTGTGGAGGATAAATTGTAGAGAGGAAAAACTTAAGCCAAAAAGATAAAAGAGAACATTATTACAATTATGGAGGTAGAATCTGTATATCTTGGCAATTAATTGGATATGGTGGGGGGGACTAAAGGAGAGAGAAAAGTCAGGGATGAGGGCCATAAGAAGCAAACTCTTCTCTCTACCTCCTTATCTCACAACTTATTTCACAACTCCTTGACATCATTTCTCACTGTTTCCTCCGTTAGTCCAAGCTCCATTGAAAAGATGCCTTTTGTCTTTGCAAAGTCCAATCCTACTGTTTGTATCCTGGATCTCATTCTTTCCCATCTTTTGCAGATTACCCCCATAATCATCCCTTCTTTAATTTTTCAGTCTCTATTCAACTGTTGGTTCCTTTCCTACTTCTACAAATATGCCCAAGTCTCCTCCATCCTTGGGGGGAAAAAAAATAACAAACTAAATTTACCATCTTTGCTAGCGTCTATCTCTTTCCTCTTTTTTAGTCAAACTCCATTAAAAAGCCATCTTCCTTTTCTCCTTCTCTAAGCTCTCTGTAGTCTGACTTCCAACCTCATTACCCAATTAAAATTGTTCTCACCAAAGTTCTTTTTAAACTGCTATATCTAATGGCCTCTGCTTATTTATCATCCTTCTTGACCTCTCTGAAGCTTTTGACATTGTTAATCACCCTTTCCTCTTTTTTTACTCTCTTTCTGGATTTTTGTCACTCTGCTGTCTCCTGGACTCCCTCTTCTCTTTATTTTCTCAGTTGTCGACTTTGCCAGCTCTCTTGGGTTTAATGTTCATCTCCATGCAGGTGATGCCCAGATCTATATATCTAGCTCTAGTCTCTCTTGAAGAATTCCAATCAACAACTGCCTATTGGTCATTTTCAGCAGGATGTCCCATATGTACCTCAAACTCAACATGTCCAAAACAAAGCTCATTATCTTTTCCCAAAAACCTACCCCTCTTCCAAACTTTTATTGTCAGGGGTACCATAATACTTGTAGTCACCCAGGCTCACAGTCTTGATGTTACCAACTCTTCACTCTTCTTATGTCACATATCCAGTCAGTTGCCAGATCTTGTAATTTATAGCTCTACATTATCTGATATATCTGACTCCTTTCTTCTCACAAAGTTCACTTCTCTTCACCTTTTTTTTTTTGCTTTTTGCTGAGGCAATTGGGGGTCAGCAACTTGCTCAGGGTCACACAACTAATAAGTGTCAAGTGTCTGAGGCTGCATTTGAACTCAGATCGTCATGACTCCAAGGCTGGAGCTCTATCTACTGAGGTACCTAGCTGCCCCCAATTTTCTTCATCTCTTGATGGACAAGTGTGGTAGCTTCCTATTTAGTATCCCTGCCTCAAGTCTCTACCCATTTCAGTCTATCTTTGTGTGAGTGTAGAACACAGGTTCCAAAGTGATTTTTTTCATGCATAGGTCTGATGATGTCATTTTCTTACTTGATAAACTCCTGTTACCTCTAGGATCATGTATAAACTCCTCTGTCTGGTATTTAAAGCTCTTCACAGCACCACCCTTTCCTTTTCCCCCCCATTTTTCTTATACATCACTCCCCTCTATACACTCAGTGATAAAGCCAAGCTGGTGTACTTGCTGTTCCTCAGACTTAACGCTCCATCTCTTGCTCTTTGAGGGCAAGAACTGTCTTTCTTCTTTTTGTTGTTCCGGCTCCTAGGACAGTACCTGACATATACTAAGTACGTAATGTTTTTTCCTTCATCTCCCATTACCATATTTTTACACTGGCTGTCTCATTTGCCCCTCCCCTCTGCCCCTTGAAATCTCTGGTTTCCTTTACAACTCAGCTGAAACATCAGTCTTAATTTGTTCCCACACCTGCTATTGCTGTCTCCCAAAACTCCCTTGTATGTATTCTCTTTATGCTTGAGAGGCAGGACGGTGTAGTGGATACAGAATTGGCTTTAAAGTCAGACCTGGGTTCAATTCTTGCATCTTGATAGATACTGGCTGTGTGACTTGGGAATATCACGTAATTTCTCAGTTTTCTAGGCAACTCTCTAAGGCTGTAAGTTGCAGAAAAGGTGCCAACCTGCATTTGTAGAGGGCATTTCTTCACCTAGGAGTTCCCTGTATCAATGAAATTGATCTAGGAGATGAAATGAGATGTTGCTCAAATATTAAAATATGAATCCCACTATTTAGCTGACTCAGAGCCCCAACTCTATGGAAGTCTTCTACTTTTTCAGGTCACTTTCCATTGCATTCATAAATTAATAAGTACTTAAACATGTGATCAGATAGTTTTAATAACATGATACATTTTAAAAATCTCTCTGAGAAGAAGAGCTTTCTAGAAAATCAAAGTAAGTTCCTCTAACTATACATTTTTTTTTTAGTTATTCCAGTTTGTTTTACTCAAACTTTCAGAACCCTAGTTGCCTCATCTGTAAAACAGGGAAATGACTGTGCTTCCTATTTTACATTTCTGATGTGAAGATCAAATGGTATAATGCATATGTAAAGTGATTTGAAAATATGAAGTGCCATATAAACATTAGTAATTATAGGTTATTTTCATAGTATAAAATATGCATTATATATTTATATGGTATGTGGTTATATTTAATATGTAGCCCATATAAGATGGTGAACTTAATCAATTAATGTTGTATGTGTTCTGACTGCTCCATTCACCATCTGTACCCCCCCCCCGTCTCTCTCCCTGTCCTCTGTTCTCCTTATTTCGTGAGACCCAAAATTGAAATT